ACGCTCTTCTTAATGCAGCCCAGGATCCCATTGGCCTTCTTGGCCATGAGGGCACACTGCTGCTTCATGGTCAACTTATCATCCACCAGGACACCCAGGTCCCTCTCTGCAGAGCTGGCGCAGCACCTCAGGAGGCTGCAGCCCTGTTCAGGCAGTTGTGAATGAACAGTTTTGCTCAGGAGTGTACTGAAAACCAGGTGAAGTGCTCACTAGCGTAAGTGCCAACTCTTTCCTTCAGCTGCATAGAATTATAACATGTACACACTTCTCATCCTCACCATTATTTTAAATAAACATGTTCCAGTCATGCAGTGCCTTAGAATGGTTTTCCCTGGGCTCCCTAGCTTTCAGGGAAGACTTCTAATGGGCTGCTACTGCCTTGATTCTGTGTAGATACTAAAAAAGATTTGAGGATGATTACAACACGTTTGCTGGATATGTTGGTCAGTAAGAGTGTATCTGGGCAAGGACGAGACCGAGCTCTCAACCTCCTCAACAAGAACATACCAAGGAAGGATCTGAAGGAACATGACAACAGTAGGACCATTTTTGTCATCGACAATGGTGAGTCTTTCCTCTTTATCCTTTCACTGGTTTGTAAGTCATGGAGCTGTATAATCTTATAGGAACAACTGTAGAACTGTTCCTCTGTTTTATTGGTGGATACAAACCTGGAGCAGAGAGGCATAATAGCTAGAATAGCTGTAAAACTGAGAGAACAGAACCTGTATATGAGGACAAGATTTTTTGTGTTTAACTTCAAAGAAGTTGTCCAGTTTATTCTGACACGTTTGCTAATGTTTGGATGATTTGGCTTGGATGGGTTGTTCAATTTGGGTAGGATAGATGAGCACCTGGAGACCCAGTTTAAGATGGTCATTTCAAACCTGGAGGGAGATAAGGGATTTGTGTGGGGTGTGTGTTTTACATTAACTCTAATGCATGCGTTACTGTTTTAGTGGAAGTTATGAAATACTTGCAGTGAAAGAGGGTTAAGGAATTCACAATTGCTTAGAAGCCACTGACTCTTCTCCAGTCAAAGCCTTCCAGTCTGAAAGGTCTGTAGGTTTAAGGCTTGTTACAATAATGCCTAGGGACCAAATGCACAAATTTGCTTGTTTTATTTTGAGCTGAATAAGCACTTGGTGCTGCAAACCTGTAACCTCAGAAACAGAACCTTCTGCTCAGTAAATATCTGAGAATCTCTGTCTAAGACTAATGTGACTAGGCAGTAAAGCAATTGGAAAATTGCCCAAGCAATTTTCTTTGCAAGAAACCACCAACAGCAGCTTGAATTTTGTACAGACCCTCTCCTGTCCAAAGCCCCATATTTCATTATGTTTCCAGGCTTAAAAAAGATACTGAAGGTAGTGGGCCAGATTCCCGAGATGCCTGACTGCCTGCCCTTAACAGAGAACACCCAGCTGACTGCGTCCGTCCTCCTGAATAAACTCTACGACGACCTGCGCTGCGATCCAGAGCGTGACAATTACCGGGTGATCTGTGAAGAGTACATCAAGTGAGTGAGGGCTGCTCCACCAGGCAAGCCCAGAGCAGATGAGGAGGGGGGTGTTAAAGAGATGAGGTGCTTTCAGGCCATTTAGATGCCTAATCAAGGCCTTGGGAGATGATGTGATTTGTCTGTCCTCCTCTAGAATCTTTCAGCTGAGAATAGAAAACATGCCCAAATCTTGTCATTGTACTCCTGCCTGCTGGGCCCTATGAATGTGGGTGCACTTGTGTCCTACACACTTCTGTTTTCCACTAGTGGAGTTCGGGTCAGCAGAGAAATTATGGATCTGTTATCCTCTTGGAACAAAACTACTCAGCAGAGGAGATCCCTCTGAACCTCATCCCACCTTTCACCCATGCTCCAGCTGTCCTAGGAGGAGTGTCAGCAATGGATCCAGTTTGTGAATTGCCTCCAGTCTGATGGAGGATGTTCCCTGTGCTGCACAGGAAAATGAGATCAGCAGACAATCACTGTGAGCCACATGCTGACTGCCTCTATCCCATGTAGGAGCAAAATCGACCCTCAGAACATGGATAAGACGCTCCACGCCATCCAGATAGTATCTGGAGTGCTGCAAGGGCCCTTTGACTTGGGCAACAAGCTGCTAGGCATGAAGGGAGTCATGGAGATGATGGTTGCTCTGTGTGGGTCTGAGAGGGAGATTGACCAGCTCGTGGCTGTGGAAGCCCTCATCCACGCCTCCACCAAACTGAGCCGGGCCACCTTCATCATCTCCAACGGGGTGACACTCCTGAAGGAGATCTACAAGAAGACCAAGAATGAGAAGATCAAAATTCGAGCGCTGGTGGTAAGGATGTCAGCACCCTGCCTTTTCACTGCCTCACTGTGCTCATCACCTTGATCCTGGACGTGGGAGCGGGAGAGGGTCTTGGGAGCATGCCAGGGTCTCTCATCTTCAGTTGGAGAACGGTTTATGGTGTCTCCAAGGAGAGAGAAGAGGGCAGGCCAGGAAAATAGGACTTAGTCTGTTTTGCCTTCAAAGTTACCCATAATCTTCCATTAAAGACATCTAATAAGAACACAAAATCTGAACTTTGCTGTGCTACAAGCTGAAAAATCTACCATGGGCTAGGATGTTTGTTGTTCCTCCTTAAGGGCAATCCTGACTTCAGCCTTTAGATGAGGGATTTGGCTGAGTTTGAGCAGCCATGCTATGGAACTAATGAGCTTTTTCTAGCTAGAGTATTTGCTTCCTCCTCAGGGTCTCTGCAAATTGGGCTCAGCAGGAGGCACAGATTATGGACTACGGCAGTTTGCTGAGGGGTCCACTGAAAAGCTAGCCAAGCAGTGTCGAAAGTAAGTCTTTTTTTTTTTTTTTCCCCTTCTGTTGCTCCATTTTTGCAAAATACAACATGCTTTTTCCCCTGCCCACACACTGCCTTTGTTGGCTGTCATTGCCTGCCAGCTGGTAATGCCCACAGAGCAGTCATATTGGGTACCTGAAGCTCCTCAGTGCCTGAATCAGCCAGACCTCCTTCCTGCCTTACTGTTCCTAAAGATCCGGAGCCTCATGCCTCACTCACGTGAGGAAGGCAAAGCTGAGTAGCTGTCCTGACCAGCTCTCCCCTGCACCCTTTAGATCCATCAGGAGGGCCATGGGAATGTGCCCTGTTTCAGGGGAAGCACCTGTGGTCTTTAGGAGCCGCAGCAGAAACTGAATGCAGGTTTGGGACTGAAACAGTTCTTGGAGCTTCTTTGTTCTTCCTCCCCCTCTTCCCAGACAAAATCAATCCTGGCTCTTGGGATGACACTGTAGATGTTTCTTGTCTCCGTTCTAGGTGGCTGTGCAACGCCAGCATTGATACCCGCACCAGGAAGTGGGCCGTGGAAGGGCTGGCCTATCTGACCCTCGATGCAGACGTGAAAGATGACTTTGTTGAGGATGAGCCAGCTCTGCAAGCTATGTTTGAATTAGCCAAGGTCCTACCCGCTTACCCCATTCTCCTCTTCCTCTGGTAGCATCAAATTCCCCTGGTTCTGCATCCCAACACATTTATCCAGGCAGGAGGAGTTGTGAGCCTAACACCTCATCTCTGGGTTAGCAAGATTTCACATGGGTCTGTGCCACTGAGACACCTCAGTCTTGCTATCATCCTAGTACTCTCCTCAGGCTGAGGAAGGCTGCTTTTACCTTTCAGCAGCTTTAAGAGGTGTTCTTCCATGAAAAGCAGATGTTGACAGCATCTGATGAAACAACATCCTCTTTGGCCATGAAAGCTTCTTGTTTTCCAAGCCCTAATAGTACCTGGGTACAAACCCAGGGTCTGCAGGGCTTCAGCTTAGGACTGCCAGCAAGGTGGTCTGCACAACAAGAGGACCTGTTCCCCTGCCATGTCATCTTCATCCTCTCATGTCTCTTTCTGTGCAGACAAGTGATAAGACTATCCTGTATTCTGTGGCTTCTGCATTAGTGAATTGTACCAACAGCTACGATACGAAGGAGCTGGTCCCAGAGCTGGTGCAGCTGGCAAAATTCTCCAAGCAGCACGTGCCTGAGGAGCATCCAAAGGTAGGTCGTGTGCAGGCAGTGAGCTGGGAGGGGATGCTCAAATCTGAGGACTTTGATATATCCCCCTGTCCCAGACCTCAGGTCTCTTGGCTCCCAACCTCCTAGGCTGAAATTGCTTTGCTGTCAAACCAGCCTTGACTGTGGTCAGCCTGCTAAGGGGCTTTCTCAATGTTCCCTTCAGGACAAGAAGGATTTTGTCATGAAGCGGGTGAAGCGACTGTTGAAAGCTGGAGTCGTGTCTGCCTTGGCCTGCATGGTGAAGGCAGACAGCGCCATCCTGACGGACCAGAGCAAGGAGCTCATAGCCAGGTGCCTTCGTTGCTGCCGTGGCCTGGGAGTTTGGCTGTCTTTGCCCCCGAGATGGGTGCCTGGTCGGGGCTGCTTCCTGCAGTGGTGCATTCTGACTCTGTTGGGGAGGGAAATGAAAGGGAGGTGAAAGGAAGATTTTAAAAGACAGATTATTCTGAGCAACATCATGAAAATCTGCATGCTGACCTTGCAGCTGTTTGGCAAAGCTGTCTTGCTAGGATGATACATTTTGAATTTCTAGTCCTCTAAACGCAACCTTATGGACCTGAAAACTTTTCACTCTGCCATTTGTTTCTTGCTAGGGCACTAGGTTAAACACCTGGAGTTTACCAGCTAGGTTTGCCTTCCCCATGTGGCCTTACCCTCCTCCCATGCAGGATGCTGCCTCTGGGCATGGCTCTTTCACTAAGTGATATTGTGCTTTTACAGAGTGTTCCTTGCCTTGTGTGAAGACCCCAAGGACCGTGGAACGATAGTCGCTCAAGGTGGTGGAAAGGTGACTGCCCTTATGTTTGTAGACCATTCTGATGTGCAGTTAGTGTCTGGGAGTCTGCAATGTGGCTACAGTGAGGGAAGTGGCAGAAAGAAGAGCTGTCTTAGTAGCCCCTGTGTCAGGACTGATACCTCAGTCCTGTCTTGGCAAGTCAAAGGAGCAATCTTGAAACAACTGTTTGAGCTACAGGCTCTGGTGTGGTACCTATTTGGAAACGAAAGAAAGACACTGTTATGGACTTCAGTCCTGAGGCATTTCTCCTTCAGCCTATACAAAGCTTTAGGATATTTGATCCTCATTTTAATATATCAAGTCCAACTTGGAAATCTTCTCAGAGACATTCATGCTTTACTCTGGTCACTAGGCCCTGATACCCCTGGCTTTGGAAGGCACAGATGTGGGCAAGATAAAGGCTTCCCATGCGCTAGCAAAAATTGCTGCCATCTCCAATCCAGACATTGCATTCCCAGGGGAGAGGGTAAGTTAAAAACGATCTTGGCAATTCCTTTAGCAAGCCCAAATCACCAGGACCTGGAAGCTGGAAAAGCAGTGATGTCATTTCTGGTTTTAGGTGTACGAGGTGGTGAGGCCCCTTGTGAGCCTCCTGAACACAGAGAGGGATGGCCTTCAGAATTACGAAGCTCTCCTGGGTCTCACTAACTTTTCAGGAAGAAGTGATAGACTTAGGTGAGTTCAAATGCTTTTTGACTTTTTTTCTTCACAGCATACTTTATCAGGGGTGAAGTGTTCTAGAAAAGCTGAGAAACATATTGGATTTGTTTCTGGGCTTGTAGTGTAGATCATCTTTGGGAGTCCTCCCTGGGTTCAATAAAGTAGCCTGGAAAAGAAGTAGCAGATTTTCCTCATGTAAAAGAAAACCCAACACGAACTCAACCTGTACTAGATAAGTGATGAACCACATGCCATGAGTTCCAGTGCGATAGGCACAGGCTTGCTTTAAGGCCTCCCTTAATTCCTCTCTGTCTGCAGTTAATATTTTACAAGTCAGTTATTACATGTCCTGTGCCTGTATTTTGTCTCCTCTTCAACACAGGATGAAGATAGTCAAAGAGAGGGCCTTGCCAGACATTGAAAACTACATGTTTGAGAATCATGACCAACTTAGGCAGGCAGCCACAGAGTGTATGTGCAACCTGGTGGTCAACAAGGAGGTGACTCGCTGCCTTTTGGACTTGACTGCTGTATACAACAGCTTGTGAGCCACAAGAAGGAGCATTTCATAAATGTTCTCTGGTGGGGTTTTTTTTTTTCCCGGCTGAAGTTGGTGGTGTTACTGTGTGGTGAAGATGATGAGAAAGTGCAGACTGCAGCTGCAGGAGCTTTGGCCATGCTTACAGCTGCACAAAAGAAACTCTGCTCCAAGATGACTGAAGTGGTAAGGCCATAAGTGTTATTGGCAGTGTGGAAATACCCTTGAAGGGGTCTGGCTCAATCATGAAATGCCTTTCATGACTGGCATTGAATCAAATCAAATTTCAAAATTTGTTTTGAAATGTTGAAAAAAATCACATCTCAAATTTAGTGTGATTCAATTTCAAAATTTGAAAAATTCCATTTCAAAATTGAAAATTTTGAAATAAAGTATTCACAAAGTATTTCAAATTAAAAAAATCAAAATTTTAAAAGCAAGATCTAGTCAACCAGTTTACTAGTGAGGAACCTTGCCCTTTTCAAGCAAGACCTGTGTGTGCATGTTCCTAGTCCATCCCTGCACAGCACCTTTCTTGCACTGGCCTTTAACACCACAACTCAGAGCTTTTAACATTTTTATTTAGCTGCTTCTATAAGTAAGTCCAGCTACTAACTGTCAAAGAAGAATAGTGAGGAATGCAGAATACTCCATGGACCCTTAAATCTTCTGATAGTTCATAGTTTAAATTAAACCTTGCTTTACTCGGAAATGAACTGAGCTTGATAGATACCTACTGAGCTTTACAGATCCTAAAACATCTTGACTTCCTAGTCCCAGGAAGCCAGCACAGACCCAGCAATAGCTTAATATCTCTGAAGACTTGTGCATGGGAACTCCTTAGCCCTGCTGCACTGAGCATGGCACATCTGGGTATTGAGATTTATGAGAAATGATGAAGTAAAAGGAGAGGCTGGGGAAATCAGTGAGGGGATTGGATGCTCTGCTACAGGTTTTCTCAGCTCTGTCAATACTCTGATCAGATTCTTTGAACAGAAATTATGCCCAAACACACAGCTGTTTGTTTTCTATGGTGCAAGAGCCATGAAATTTTCTGAATTTTAAAGCAAACAAAAATTGGGCTCAAAAGCTTGGAGTCAGGTTTCCTTGAAGAATCAAGTAACCAAAACTTGACTTTTTTTTTCCCCTCCATCAGATTTATACTAATGTTCTACCCCTTCCTTGCAGACAACCCAGTGGCTTGAAATCCTGCAGAGGCTCTGCTTGCATGATAACATGGAAGTGCAGCACCGTGGATTGGTCATAGCTTTCAATTTAATAAGTGCTGACAAAGAACTGGCAAAGAAGCTGGTGGAGACAGAGCTCCTAGAGATCCTAACCTTCATTGGCAAGCAAGCAGATGACCCCAAGAGGCAGCACATCATTAACGTGGCACGTGATTGCCTGGCAAGGTGCATGGATTATGGGCTAATCAAACCTCTCTCTCAGTCATAAGGAAATGCACCAAAAAAGCTGAGTAGGGGAGGAAGGGAAGCTACTGAGAAATGATCTGCTCTGTAACCATCTGCCTGGTACTGCAGTGATTCCTAGTGAGGGTGGGACAGGAGGGTTTTCGTCCCATGCTGCTGTCAGAAAATGTTTAGGAATGTTTAGTTGTGTGCTTTTTTCTTCATTTATGGATTTTTTTTTAATTGGCTTTAAAAGGAGTACCAATGTGTGAGGCTGGTGGATGAGCTCTTAATAAATCCACCACTTCTGTGAGGAATCTCTGCCGTTCTACTTTCATGAAAGCAACGGAAGGGTCTAGGAGACTTCTCTGTTAGCATTAGGGACCACTTTGGTTAGTGACTCTGCAGGACTCTGCCATTCTGCTGGTGGGAGACCAGCTGAGCAGCAGTGACTTTTCTGCACGTAGTTCAATTAAAATCCAGAGGATACCAGGCACAGGGAGCTGTCCTGATGAAGTCAGAGTAAGGGCTCTGTCTCATCAGTCGCTCCTATCTTTGAAACTCTCAGCTCTGTTATTATGTGCTTCTCCCCATCAACCTTTGTCAAAAACACTACTTGTTAATGGTCGACTTTTTAAAGTACACAATCTATACACCTTGCAAACCACTAGTTTATATTTTAACTAATAATAGTTAATGCCAATGATACTCAAGTTGTAGTTATTAGCTGAGGCCCGGGAGGGTGAGGCTATTTGAACCTTACTAAAACATATTCCAGCCCCACGCTCGGCCTTGGACAGGCCCTTACTGATACCATAGAGCGGGGCGCACCCCTGCCTGTGCTCCTAGCTGGCCTCAGGCCCTAACGCGGACGACGAAGAGAAAATGGCGTCGGCGCCACCCACCCTCTGCCTCAGGGTAGCGCCG